GTCTTAAGATTTGGCATAGATTTGTGTCCTAAGCTTTAGCAAAGATTTGTGTCCTAAGATATTGCATAGATACATGTCCTAAGATTTGGCATAGATACATGTCCTAAGATTTGGCATAGATACATGTCCTAAGTTCTGGCATAGATACATGTTCTGCATACCAACAAGATCAGAATTAAAAAGGGAAAGTTGATTTAAGGGAAATTCACTAACGTCCTCAATTCCGGTAATTTAGTTTATACTTATACAACCTATTAGAACTGGAAGTGCCAGGTACAGAGAATAGGGAGTAATATTTCATGTACTGTATTTAACCTGTGGTAAATAAGACAAAACATGCTAGCATAATGCATGGATAAACTACCATCGCCCAGTGTGTTGAGGAAATTTTGATTATGCAATCATCACTTGAGTTTTGTGACCATGATACAAGAGTTTTTAATGATATTTAAGTACCACACTTGTAAAACTTTTTGAAAGGGACCCGCAGAATGATCAAATAGAAATAACTTACTTAAGCAAAGTGTAAATAGTGTTCAAAGAATTTGAGAATTAATGATTACAAATTTAGATTTGAGGAAAAAAAAAAGAAGATTGTGGGCAAGTGGCAAAAAAGAATTGTCACAAAAGCTATTGTTTTGACAAGTTAAGATACTAATCTTGTAAAATAGACCTCTCCTGTTTTGAGTTTAAAACGGTCTACTGTAGATTTCATTGACTTATGTACAGAAAATGATAAAATTAAATAACTGAATATTTGGTATAGTAAAGGGTCAATTCAAAGGGTTCTTATGAGACCAGGAGAAGAAAATGACATCATCTAATGATTTTACAAACCGAGAAAAGAGATGATGGCGGCCAAAAAATTTGGGAACTGTCAATGGAAGGAAAAACTTTAATTAATTGTTGTTTATTAACATCTAACTTTCTGTCAGTATTCTTTTTTATAACTAAATGAATTTGAGAGTCATATACTATCATTTATTACCATGGTAACTGTTTGATGTTTTATCTTTTGAAAGTAAATATAAGTTATGTTTGTTCCTCCTTTTTTTTCATAATAAAAAGGTTAAAGACACTGCTTCCTTTACTAATGGAAAGTTCCCCTTATAATACCACAGAAAATAGTAGTCTTAATAAATAAAATATCTCTATACTGAGGGACTCTAAATCAGACTTTTAGTCTTTAAAATTGGTTCAATCAGCATTGCTTTGAAATAGTCCATGTGTCCTTGTAAGCGGAACTTTACTGTATTTTTGTGTTGGTGAATTTGAGATGAATTTGGACCTTTTTAGCTCGACTATTCGAAGAATATGAGAGCTATTGTAGTCGCCCCGGCGTCGGCGTCAGCGTCCGCGTCGGCGTCTGCGTTGGTTAAAGTTTTTTGTAAAGTCAAATATCTCAATTATTACTCGAGATAATCAATTGAAACTTACAATACTTATTTATAGTAACAAGGTACATCAGATTGACAAGTTGGATAACTCTGCCTACAATATTGACAGAATTATGCCCCTTTTTAACTTAGAAATTTTGGTTAAAGTTTTTTGTAAAGTCAAATATCTCAATTATTGCTTGGGATATTCAATTCAAACTTACAGTACTTATTTATAGTAACAAGGTACACCAGATTGACAAGTTGGATAACTCTGCCTACAATATTGACAGAATTATGCCCCTTTGGAACTTAGAAATTTTTGTTAAAGTTTTTTTGTAAAGTCAAATATCTCAATTATTGCTCGAGATATTCAATTGAAATTTAAAACACTTTTTTATAGTAACAATGTTCATCAGTTTGCAAAATTGCATAACTCTGCCTGCAATATGTGCAGAATTATTTGCCCCTTTGAAACTTAGAAATTTTGGTTAAAGGTTAAAGATCTTCAAAGATATTTACTTGAAACTTTACACATGCACTTAGGGTCATAATTGGAGGGTCATAATTGTATGTCACTGACCAAGTTCCATAACTCTATCTTGCATTAAGGCTGATTCATATCCCCTTTTCTACTTAGTCTCTTGGTTAATGTTTACATGCAAGTTTTACATATCTCAATAACTATTAAAGATATTTATTTAAAACTTAACATATGCATTTAGGGTCATAATTGTAGGTCACTGACAAAGATCCATAATTCTATCTTGCATTTGGGCTGATTTTTCTCCCCTTTTTCAACTTAGAAATTCATGGTAAAGTTTTGCTTGTAAGCTGTTATCTCAATAACTACTGAAGGGTTTGTGCCTTTTTTGGGACAATTTTATGCATTCATAATAATAAAGCAGTGATTTACTTGATAAAACATCTTAATAACAAGCCTTTGTACCATTTCTGTCAAATTTATGTATTCATAGGTAATTAGTATTATTATACTCAATAAAACACCCTTGTGACATTACCTTCCGAATAGTCAAGCCAATACTGTATAATTAGACTCTCTCTAAGGCCTATAACATGAATTTATAAAAAAAAATTAGCCCTTTTGTGAACTTAAAAAATTTAACATTATCAAGGCTCTTTTGCTATCAAGCACTTAGAATAGTCGAGCGTGCTGTCCTACTGACAGCTCTTGTTAATGTTTGTTAAGAAATTACTTGAGCAAAACAAAAGTCTGCATGCCTCATTGGCTGAATGGTTATGCCCTCTTACCTCGTAGAACTTGCTCCTTGCTCTTTACTACTAGGGGTTTGAATCCCAACAAAGATTTTAATGACTCTATTTGAGTGCTTGCTGGTACTTGAAATTGTATACAGTGGAGCTCTTGTGGACTTTGTCGGTAAGAACAGCTGAAAAGTAGCTATATGACAATTAGTGTCCATGTGACTTCAGACCAAACTTAAAAACAATGTCTTGTAATTTGATGGACTAATGATTTTGTGACTATATAAATGTAGTTATACTTTTGTCACTTGTGTAAAAACCAATCATGAAGTACCATTGTGAATAATATATTTCATATACAATAGACACAAGCTTTATATTTTATGCTTAACAGGTGATTTCATAAGGAGTTGATATGCAGTGAATGATATAGTTTATATTTCATTGAAAGGCACCTGTATCTCATTACTTGGCATATGATGAATGGACACATTGTACATGTAGGGAAATAAAGGCCTCTGCAGAAATTGATACGTTTTTTTAGTTGAAACAGGAAGCAGCTTCTTGTTTCCTAATACAGTCCCACCTGCTCTAAAAGAGCGTTGATGGTGAGTGACTTTGAAGCAGAGGCCATTGACTTTGACACCAATAAGATGATGACATTATAAAAGTATTATTATTTTCAGAATTTGACACATTTTTTTAGAGATTATTAAAACATGTAGGTTTTGCATGTGCTTTTGTTCCATGAGTTTTTTTTATCATAAGATGTCATTGATTTACCGTTTTGTATGAAATAATTCGACAATAAATATTTGAATTTAGTTAAATGTGTAGTTTTTATTGAAGTCTTAACCCTTGTATTGTTCAGTTCTGGAGTCTTTATTACCAGTACAGGGCCAGGCCTATGCCTGTCTGAAAATTCAGTGCAGTCTGACCAGGCTCCATAACTAACATTATTTAATCCTGAATTAATCTTTGTCAGTTCCATTATTTAAAGATGGACTGACAAGTCCATATAAGAAATTCTGTAGTTGAGGAAAAGAACACTATATTAGAGCATAAATATGATTGGAATTATTTCACTTAAAGCTGAGAAAAGTGATTCGTGAAATTCACCCTGTTGAACATGTGTCCCAGATCAAAAAATAATAATTAAACAACGAAGACATAAAAAAAACTGAGGTGATCATATCATGCCCTTGACAGGTGTTTATATATACCCTGATGTTAGTTAACGGAAAATATAGCTTCCTTTTTAGCTCGACTTTTCTATGAAAAGGGGAGCTATCCTACTCGCCCCGGCGTCGGCGTTGGCGTCACACCTTGGTTAAGTTTTTCGTACCACCCCACTTTATTTCAGAAGTATTACAAGTATGGCTTTGAAACTTACCATACTTGTTCACCATCATAACCTCCATCTACAGACAAGAGTACATAACACTGTCAAGGTTTTTGACAGAATTATGGCCCTTTTTTGACTTAGAAAGTGTATTGAGCTTGGTTAAGTTTTTTGTACCACCTCACTTTATTTCAAAACCATTGGAGGTATTGCTTTGAAACTGACCATACTTGTTTACCATCACGACCTTCATCAACAGACAAGAGGACATAACTCTGTCAAGGTTTTTGACAGAATTATGCCCCTTTTTGACTTAGAAAATACATTGAATATGGGTAAAATCCACTTATTGCCTTAACCCTTTGAGATATTGCTTTGAAACTTTTAATGCTATTTCACATCATTACCCCCATCTGTACGCAAGAGAAGGTAACTCTGTCAAGGATTTGTTTTAAAAATTAAGGCCTTTTATCGACTTAGAATCTTGGTTAAGTTTTTAGTACCAGTCCACTTTTTGACTGAACTGTTTGAGATATTAATTTGAAAGTTGGAATACTTGTTTACAATCATGATTCCCAAACATGTCCAGGAGAAGGTAATTCTGTCAAAGATTTTATTTGAATTATGGCCCTTAACTGTCAATGTTTTGTATTATAGGCAAGCACTAAAAACTTAAAAAATCTAAAAAAATTCATTCCTATCCACTTGTTCACTTTACCATAAATTATGTCATATAAACATTGCTGTAATATTCAAGGGTATCAAACAACTAGTTCACTTTAAAAATACAGAGATTCTTGTATTGCCTTTTACTGCAAAAACTTTTTTTATTGGCAAGCAATAAAAAAGTCGAGCGCGCTGTCTTACGGACAGCTCTTGTTAAATCTGCCAACTTACAAAATCAGTATATACATGTAAATACCTATAATACATACTGATTTTTAACAGCAGAAAGACCTATATTTGGGACATGACCGCACTTGATTGAACATCCGATTTTCGAAATCAAATAGAGAAGTAAGCGTTGAATAGTATGCAATTTAATCCTTTTAAATCGTAGTAAAATCTATGTCATAATTTCTTTTATAGCATACAATATGGACAGAAACCATTGACCACATGTAAACAGACGTAAATAACCTTTTAGTTTAGCTTGTCTTTTGTAAGAAAGAATTAAAACAAACGGGACTAGACACAGTTGTTTTTGAAGGAGGATTAGAAGTGTTTAAATCGATTTATTGCCTGTGCTAAACGTATGTTTATCACGTAAGTTTGTAATTCCAAACAACTATAAATCAATTTAGGACCGATTTTTCAAAACTTGTACAATTTATGACAGTTTATAAAACTGAACCTCCAGTGTGAGTTTGTATTACAGTGATTATTAAAGGAAGTTAACATAGTGTAACGGTTTTCACTCCATTTTAAAACAATGGGTTGCGGATCTTCGTCGGCGGGCACATCAGCTAATGACAAAAATGAACAACAGCCGAAACAAGCAACAAATAATAGCACAAAAGAGAATGCAAATAAGGATACCACACAAAAGAAAGCAGAGACTAATGCACCTAGTAACACTACTAGTAACCAGTTTATGAATGAAGCTATACAGTCGCATAATAAGTTAAGGTAATTAACTTTCGTAATACTCAACAATGGTAATAATTTTCAACTTTATTCCCCCATATTTTTAACTTTATTTTTTCCCCAACAATTCGTGATTGTAGTTCTTCCGTATTCAAAGTTCTAATTCAAAATAAAGCATGTAAATATAATACATGTAGCACAATGCAGTCTCCGCATTCACAAAAGGAATAAATTTATCTGAAGAACTTTGCGTTTTGTGAAGACAGAAATTCGGAATGTTTGAAATAATCTTAAGAATTATCTATATGATCAATCAGTTTGATTTTGAAAGAAATTGAGTTGGTTTAATAAAAATTCAGATTAATATAGTCGTCGTTCAGATTTTATTAAAACAGGTATTGAGATTGACTGACATGGAAATCTTGATTTGTTTAGTAGGAAATTCAGATTGATTGACATGGAAATCTAGATTTATTTAGTTGGATATCCAAATTGATTGTCATGTAAATCCAGATTTGTTTAGCAGGAAAACCAGATTGATTGACATGGAAATCCAGATTTATTAAGTAAGTAATTCAGATTGATTGGCATGGAAATCTAGATTTATTAAGTAAGAAATTCAGATTGATTGGCATGGAAATCTAGATTTATTAAGTAAGTAATTCAGATTGATTGGCATGGAAATCTAGATTTATTAAGTAAGAAATTCAGATTGATTGGCATGGAAATCCAGATTTATTAAGTAAGAAATTCAGATTGATTGGCATGGAAATCCAGATTTATTAAGTAAGAAATTCAGATTGATTGGCATGGAAATCCAGATTTATTAAGTAAGAAATTCAGGTTGATTGAAATGGAAATCCATATCAAATTATAAATTTAAATTGAGTAAAATGAAAACTCTTTAAATGTTTCTGACAGTTTCTTAAGTATCAGTAAAGTTAGTAATATTCGATGTCGTTTTGAAAATTGAAAACCATTTCTTAGACGCATTTAAACAAATGTTACTCTTAATCTTTAAATCACATGCTGTTTTTTCATCTGCTGTTTTTTCCAGTAGACTAAATTCAATTTGTCTTGTTCCTTAATTTGTAGCACTTGTGACTTGGATGATATCAGATATACTAAATTTATGTCTAAAGTAAAGGAACAACACTGAAGTAAAAAAAAAGCATGAACAAAAAATGAAAATCTTACATATATCAACTGGGGCACTTCATATATCAACTGGGGCACTTCATATATCAACTGGGACAATTCATATATCAACTGGGACAATTCATATATCAACTGGGACAATTCATATATCAACTGGGGCACTTCATATATCAACTGGGACAATTCATATATCAACTGGGACAATTCATATATCAACTGGGACAATTCATATATCAACTGGGACAATTCATATATCAACTGGGGCACTTCATATATCAACTGGGACAATTCATATATCAACTGGGGCACTTAATTAACACGGCCAGATATGGAAAAAGTAAAAACATTATTAAGGTCGATATTAAGAGCGATTATCAGACGAATCTAATGTAAATTTGCAGTCCCGTCATTTAGATCCACAACATTCCCAATTCATTTATTATAAGTATGTATAGTATATAATCATATAAGTATGTAAATATGATCTTTAATTATATTTACCTATAGATGTAAGCTTTGCTTACACGTCTCTTATAATTCTATACTGAATGGCATATGTACTTTTACCAGTTTTATTCTTTTTTATTGTGATATATATAATGTACATGTGATGAGACGTAAATAAAATATTTGAATTGAATTGAATTGAATTTAAATAAAAGCTCAGTGGAGTCCCTTTAAGCTGATACTTAAGACCAGTAAACTGGAGAGCCATTTTGAAGTCCTATTGTTGTTGCTTTTTTATAATTACTCAATGGTTTCATTATTGGTGTATCAATGCTGTTGTTGATATTTTGATAGTATTACAATTTTATTTAATTGTCAGGTCTTTAATTATCTCAATCCATGTATATAAGTATGACCATTATAGTTATTGCTACAATTTCATGTTATTTTTAGCGTCTTTGGTGTTCAATGTTTTCATTTTCTTTACAGCAGTTCAAATGTTATTATCGTTTATATTTGTTTGGGTCGTCAGACCAAACAAATAATGGTAGCGAAATTTCAGACTCTAATGCTGTTAATTGCAAGTGCCGAAAGTAGTCCGCTTTTTTAGAGCGGTTACTTTCCTTTATATGTAACACTTAGGCCGAAAAATTTAGGGGAGATCACTGCGTAAATATGGTAACATCACAGGCGTATTAATTTTCAAGCAAAACTATTTCTGAATGGTCGAAGATTTCTAATATTGTTTTATTCTTTATAGATATAAATAGTAAGCGCCATGATTATTATACAAGTGTTAAACAACAGTTAGCGTCGTTACAAACCTTAACTAGAATAGTATGATTTTTTCCAGGCCGTTAACATATAAACTCACCGTGGCCGAGGGGTTTGCTCGTTCGCTTAGGCAGCGAGAGGTCTGGAGTTCAATTCCCAGTTAAGGCAACTCATTTTTTTCAAATTGTTTAAGTCAAATAAACATTGGATCGAATATCAGTGTTGCAATTAGTCTTATATAGCCATTCTACTACAATTAAAACGCTGGTATGCATTGGTAGCACTATACAAAAACAAATATATTGTTTTATAATCTCACAACCTTCTGAATCACCTTTCTGACATTCTGAGATCCAAACAAATTCAGCGCCTTCTGTGCTTTGATTTAATGTTTCAATGTAATCCTTTTCTTAACTGTGGTTCAGATATTATCATTATCATATTTGATGTTTCTATGTTTTCATTTTCATTACTGCACGTTTCAGGTGTTAAGAAAACTACTTTTATTAAAACGACAAAAATTATTATTGATCCAGCTATTCGTAGATTTACCCATACTGGATATAAAAACTTTATTTTCTGTGAAAAATTCGCGTTAAACTGTACAGACAGACAAAATTAGTGCCTTTCACAAATACATCGTCCATTTTATTCTGACGTTGTGAACGTCAACATCATATGAATGTCAATGGGGCAGGTAGTTTGAATACAGTTCACAATTTCTACAGTCTTTGTACGAACTAAACAACATTTTTATCACCGTTATTATCAATATTATTGTTGTTTTAATTTAGAGCAATGCACAGTGCCCCTGCGATGACACCAGCTGAAGAATTAATCGTCTACGCACAAAAATATGCAGATGAGCTTGCAAAACGTGACGTTATGGAACACAGTAAATGCATACTGCCATCTGGAGGTCGAGTCGGAGAAAACCTTTACTGCTATTGGTCGAGCGATCAAACAGCCGTTCCTACTGGTAGGTACTCGTTACCAAAAAAAAAAAAAAAAATGTTTTAAACCTTCCATTTCTTTTTCAATATATGTACTGAAAAAGTCGATTGTTTAAAAGCTTCCAATCTATTGATCTTACCGAGTTTGAACACGCTAATGCTAAATTCATAATTCTTCGTCTTATAAAGCCTGCTGACACTTTATTTTCGCGAGATGATTTAAATGTTACTCCAATCTCCAGATCTCCAGAAAATATTTTCATTCTTTAGCTTGCTCTATGACAGATTATACTGGCATAAACTTATAAATGAATATGCAAAGACAATAACTCCTAAATATATTTTCAAGATATTTATTTTGCTTGAATAAATTAATATTACATCCAAGCGTTTGTTTCTTACAAAACGGTGAAGGAAGTAATTATTTCTTTATATATTTTAATGATATTAATTTTCCTTGAATTAATATTATATGCTTACAAAACTGTAATTCAAAGTGAGGAAATATATATATTCCATTAAATGTCTTTAAAACCATGTTATTTTATTATTAAATATATTGGATTATAAATATAGATTATTATAATACTTTTACAGCGGACATGGCTGTGCAGTCATGGTATGACGAAATCAAAGATTATAATTTTAACGACCATGGATTTGCTATGAACACTGGTGAGTTTATATTTAACCCTAATTAAACTGCCATTTAAAAAATACATAATAAGATTTTCTGTTTTGAAAAAAAAATCACATTCATTCAGTCTCAATACGTAATGGCGTACATCTATAACGTGGAGTCAAGGTATCTGTAAATGTACTGAACTAAACTAAACCGCCGCCCATTATATGAATATGCCATATTGATGGCCTTGAATAAAATAGAAATAGTTAGTTTTGTATGAAAAATGGTTCGAAAACTATTTAGAAAATCATATATTTAAGAAGAGAAAGCTTGTGTGAAGGACGTTTTTTTGCATGAAGGCAAAGTTATACTTTACTGTGCAGTTTACTTTTCAGTAAGTGTTTATGTCTGGCAAAATTATTTGTATGAATGTTCATTGCACTCAAGTAGCCCTAATTGAAAGCATCGCCTGAACACTATTTAGAAATTGTTTTCTAAGGATATTGGTACGAACACTGTTTAGAAATATATTCAAGTGTTTTCATCAGAAGACGTGTCTGAATTAAAGTCGAATGCTTTACTTAAGAAAGGCGCCCTCCAAGTCAGGTCGACTTAAGTCGGGTCGTCTTAAGTCGGGTCGTCTTAAACATATATGTAATTGATATTTTCAGGCCATTTTACTCAAGTGGTATGGAAGGGTTCAACAGAACTTGGAATGGCCTGGGCCAAGTCAGCTAAAGGAACAACGTACGTTGTGGCTAATTATAGACCAGCTGGAAACATGATGGGAGATTTTGAAAACCACGTGCTCCCGAAACAATAACCATTACGTTGAACACCACTAAATCATTTCCTACGCTATTTCTATATGATATGACGCACATTAATACAAGCTGTCCTAACTATCGGGAGAGAAGAACCTAGCTGTGACATTGACAAACCCTTGTTTCTAAAACAATAAACAATAAGTTAAAATGATTTAATCATTTTGATTTATTTAACGTTTTATGGAAGAAAAAATAATTTAGTGATCACTGATTTTCAATTTACCAGATCTGGACTTTCTACAATTATTCCATGGAGCCTTAAATATAAGCCAACCTTTATAAATAAATGACCAATAACATTATTTGTTGTAAAAAAATCGGCTGGGTATGGGAAAGTTAAATAGTACTCTCAAACCGCCTTTAATTGACACTTTATATGAGATTTTTCTACTCATAATAACTTTATTGACGTATACACACATCTGTGATAAAAGTCTGTATATTTTGCTCAATTTTTATATTAAACTATATTTCATTTGTTATGTTAATATATTTTATTCTTATAATGCATTTTAAAGCAATTTATCATTCAAATTATTTTTATTTACAAAAAAGCTATACACTTATTATGCACTTATTTGCTGTTACTTCTATTATGTAATAAATTATAAAGACTTGATTGTTGTTTCATGTTTATATATGGAGGATATTCAAATTTTTTTCTATAAAAATAGAATTTATTTTCATTGAGTGGTATGAAAATAAATATTTCATGAGTGGTGGTAGCCATGAGTGAAATATGATAATTTTCATATCACAAGATGAAAATAAATCCTGTATTTATGCAAAAAAAACTTGAATTTTCTGTTTATTTTATACCTTTCCTTTTTCTTGACCTTACGATTCTTAAGATTTCTACTTAATTTCTTGTATTGGCTGAATTAAGAAGGTGGTAGTCCGGCAAGACACCAGTGAAAATACGGAAAATATGTTTCACTGCAGTAGAAAATAATTTTTTACAGTGAAAATAAAGTAAATACAGTGGAATACAAAATGAAAATACACATTTTATCTTTCAACATTTATTTTATCAATAATTTATGATGAATAATTATATTTGAGTGTTGACTTTTGCAAAAAAAGAAAGAAAAAAAGATTAATAAAAAAATCAGCACTTAATAAGATTTGTAATCAATTATCTGTTCAATAAGTAAATTTCCATGGCAGCAAGTTATTCAGTTATTACATTTTGCATGTTTATTGCAATATAGTAAATACAAGGGGATATGGACATGTACATTCGAGTAGCGTAGTGGTTAGAGAGTTCAGTTTATAAAGAGTTCATGTGAAAAAAAATATTTTTCGAGTTCAAATCTGCAATTGTGTCTGTATGGTTTTTACTTTTAGAAAACATTTTTATATTCTCTTTAATAAACCTGTGATTTATTTAATATTTCGTACAATTTAAAGTTAATTAAACTTATAATGGTTTAGAAAAAATGAATGTATTTGATTTCAACAGTCATTGAACAGATTGAATAGTATTGTCAATTTAATTATATTTAAAACACTCTGTTGTTTCTAACTTAATAAAAGTTCTCTAATAGTATTGTGTGAAAGAAATTCACGAGGAACAAAAAATATCTAAAAACAAAACAATATAAGTAAAGAAAAAATGCATTTTCCACGAATCGAACCAGGTCTCAACACTGACGAAGCCAACACCCAACCACTATGCTATTACGCAGTATGAGTAATTGTTTAGGTGATTAATGTAATTAAAGATTTAGTAAAATAGTATCCTTTTATATAAGAATTATCGACACCCCTTTTGGTCAATTTTGATATAAACAGATAATGAAAAGAATAGCGAATTCGAGCTGTATGTGGCGCCGTTATTTGTCGCAACGCCGCTAAATGTCGCACTTACCGCTAAATGTCGCACCAATACCGCTAAATGTCGCAACTGTCGCTAAATATCGCATAAATGTCGCAATGTTAACGTTAAATGTCGCACGAATTTCCGCTACCGTTAAATGTCGCAACACTACCGTTAAATGTCGCAAGATATAAATTCATGTTAAAATCATGATTAAAAGTAGTAGTATTTTAATTTAAAACGCTCTCATAGTTATTTTTACTGTAATTGCCATTAAACAAAAAGTATCTCTGTTTTAATTGTTTTCTTTTATGAACCTAAATATCGAGGATTTGAGCTGCTATATAATGTAATATTGACATTAGAAAGCGTATTCTAGAAAGATACAATTGAAATTCAAGTCTCAATAGATAAGTATTTTTCTTTTGTCTCCCTTTTTCATTTATAACTCTGATTGACAACATCTTAAAAGTATTATGATATTGTCGCGATCAGAATTCGGTTTAAGTAATTTCATTGATTTGAAGACCTTTTTTTCTTGCTAGTACTAATAGTAATACAGTCATACTAGGGCGGTTTAAGCCCCATTTACACAGTCCCGGTCTGGTGTCCCGGTTTGCCACGGTTTAGTCAACCATGATCAACCGTGGTAAACCGACGTTGGGTCGTTGAAATTCCGTGAAGTAAAGGGACAAGCCATGGTGAACCGGAACAAACTGAGAGATCACCACGGTTGTCTTCAAATGTTTAATACAACCGGGGCTCATCGGCACTCACCGAGAGGAAGCCCAAATCCGTGTTCTATCGGCTTGGAACAGGGAATATCCGGGAAACCACCGTATCTATACTGCATCCATACCGTGACAAATCGTAGTAAACCGGGATGCGTGTCAATCAATGTCAAAACGGCAAAGTCCCGGTGATGACACGACGATGCCATGGTAAAACAGGCAGAGCTACGGTAGAGCCGGAGTACATTGAGGTCACTGGCAACAACGCTTCGGTAATGTCCCGGATATTGCAGACAAGTACGGTTATACAACAATGATAGACGGTGGTGTAACGACCTCATGCCGATACAGGAAATTTAAAGAACAGGAATATATAAACTTGAAGTGCTACTTTGGATCATTTTGTTTAGAGAAGGAACACGAGCATGGACAATTTGTTAAATGAGAGAAGGAAAAATTCTTCAGCTGGTGCATTTTCAGCTTCAGGTACCTCAACCTCTGAAGGTGTTGCAGACACAGTTTTTTTCTAACTTCCACCTACTTTCCTTCGGATGGCATCTCTGCTGTCTTTTTACCAAATGACTGATGTCAACGTGGTCAGTCAGTTTTATTCTCATAAACTTGAACAGGAAGCATCGGTGCATTACCAGGGCGTCACCGGCACAGTACCGGCATCACCAATAGCATTACCGTGGCAAAAACGGCGATGGTCGGGATGAACCGTGATGAAACCATGTCTAGTCGGGTTTCCACCGGAATCAAGCGGGAATACACCGATTTAGCATCGGCGCTTATCGTATATATCCGGTGCTATATCGGGTTCTGAACCGGGAATACACCTGGGCTCTGTCGGGGATGTGTAATCTCAGAAAAACCCCACGGAACACCTCGGTTCACCAGCTTAAGACACAGTAGCGATACTGTGGCCATTACCGGGACAGTCTTATTTTGGGCTTTATCAAACGGAACCTGCAACATTTACAATTTTGCCGTTTTGGACTTTCTTTAGGGGTTCTTTTTTTCTCTGTTGTATCAATGACTGATGTTCCTCAACACACATCTGAACAACTTAAGTATTCAAGGAAAATATAGCACTCAAACCCACTGATCCGGGGCCAGAAGACCAAACAATTTCATACAGTAAACCAGTGACATAACAATTAAGCTGATGCTTATGAAAGATTATACTTGAATGTCGAATATGATATCATTTAATTGTGGTTACTTTGTTTCGCTAATATGTTTGTTAATACAACCGCAGCCAATGCATTTGAATTTAATAGACTACAATGTACAGTTAATTTCAACATGATAAAAGTTCAAATCTTATGTTTACTTGTAGCGTATCGTTAGTAAGGAGCTGGTTTTATTAATCAGGTTGCTCTAATTATTAATGTACATGCGGTTGTTAGCTATCTTCCGATAATGTCAAACCCCTCGCGGGGACGTAAAAAAATGGTTAACTTGGGTTTTGATATTGCCTTGTTTTGAAATGTTCAACGGGTTTCCAAATGCAATCACTTATGACTTGCATACTTAAGGGAATTAGGCGGCGGAAACTGATATGTGTTTGATGTTTGATATGATTGTATATCATATGTCATTACTTTCAACTATTGTTTAACACAATATTTGCATTTATATCAAAGGTATGAGGGGCCTCCGTGACCAAATGACAGCTAACTATTTACTCCCGAGAAATGATTTGTTTTCATTAATGAAAAGCTAAACGTGTCGGCGTTGGTTAACCTTTTTGGTTATGTTTTCGCCTTGATTAACCTTTTTGGTTATGTTTTCGCCTTGATTAACCTTTTGGTTACGGCTTATTGCTAAAAATTCAAACATATTCACTTAAAACATAAAATACTTATTTTATATAAAAGTAAAATGCATTTCTAAAGGAATTAAGATGATCTTGAAAGGCATTTCTCCCTTTTTATATTTTTCCCCAAAACCATCACAAATATTCATTTCAAACTTGAAATATTGATTGAATATCAAGACAAAAATTTCATTTTAACAGAAACGGCAAATACGTGAAAAACATGCACAGTATGAAATGCACGGTCAACACGAAAATCGACAGACAAGCTTGGTCTTATTCGAAATGGGAAATGTTTTGGGCCATTTTGAAATCTTGCATTTAGCATTCGTATAAAGTACTCCTTGATTATTTAGTATTCCTCACAGGTTTGCCGATCCGCGGTCGGGTGTTAGATATGAGCGAATTTCACGATTAGCAGATATTATCATATTATATGCCGGCAGTTGAGTAAGCAGATGTCAAAATTAGAAAACGCACAGAAAATTTAGTACAAACACTATTTACGCTTGGACATTGTGGCAAGTGATATTTTACTCGTCAAGTCGCTTTATACTATGATAGATTCTCGGAAAATTTCATTAAATAAGAATAGTTTTTTTTAAATCATACTGTCAGAGTTCTAATCAAGTTTAAAAAGCCTTGATTTTAATAACTGTCAAATAAAAACAATGACTTATAAAAACAAAAAATTTAATATAGACATAAAAATTCATACCCCTATTTTAATTTTACAAACCATGAATCAGCAAATAAGAACTCTTGCTGAGATTTGAACTCAGAACTCCTCTTATGTATGTGATACAATAAAGAGGCATTTTGACAGTTAAACTACAAGAGCTTAAAACTTACTAACCATGGCTTGTTATTAAAAGATTAACATTCTTCCTACTTTTTTGCATCTATATATAGTTTTCAAATAGCCAAATTTAGGTCTATCAAAACAAAAACTGGCCAAAATTCATAATTTTATCCTGAAAATTCTTTTTTAAAACTTATTTAAAGGATTTTTCAGAATCATTTCAACTATTTAGTACATAAGAATTTAAAAAAAACAACAACAAAAAACGCACACACTTAAAATGTTTCTTTTTTTCATTTAATTACACATTTCTAAAAGATTTTGTAAAATATTGTCAATTTTCTATTCATTATGGTTCTTATTTTACCAATCTAAGGCATGAGCTGTTCTGATGAATAAAAAAACAACACTAAATTGAATTATCAACAGGAATAAATTCTGTA